ATGAAAAAAGCTCATAACTGATATAATTAATATAATTATCTTCTGCAAAACTATGCTCTGTTATTAAACATCTGAATTCAATAATAAGATTAACTGTAATTACAGTAATATAACACTAATAAAAAAAGTATTTTTTATTACTATTTATTAATATTACCATTTATTAATTTTTTATTACTAGTTAATATTAATACTATTAATACTATTATAATACTCTCTCTCTCTCTCTCTCTCTTTCTCTTTCTCTCTCACTCTCTCTAAAATACACTAATAAAATAATACTTCTAATAACACTAATTTTCGATTGCATTTATTTGAATTTTATTAATACCTAAATACAATAATGTTACTGCTAGAAGTCTATCAACGCTCGCCGTACAAGAATGCACAATAATATTCTAAATAACAAATAACAACATTATAAATAAATAAAGTGCTTCATTCAACATAGTTCCAAAAAAACCATACTACCTCCATAAAGTGCAGCAACAAATGAACACAAAAGAAAGGGTCCCAAAAAATTGATCCAAGGAAACAACGGAAGCCCCTAAACAGGAGCATTCATCCCTGGTGTGCCAATCCTGGTGTGTCGTGTCCCGCGACCATAGTCACCAACAGGTCCAAATCATCGACTTTCAATGCCTAACGAAAGCAATGTTAACAAACCGGTGATTCGACGACAGAGGAGGAGGCGAAACGGTGCTCCTCGGCACTGTGCTCGCTGGGGGAGCCGCCGCGGCGCGGCACGGGTGTGGTGGGGGTCCGGCCACGCCCGCGCGGTTCGAGCGCCGAGTGAGACGCGGTGGGCGGCGCTTCGGCCGGCCAACCGCGAGGCCGCCGGGACCAGGGCCGTCGGGGCGGGGGGCGAACGAACGCATCGGTAGTGTGGGTACCGTTCGAGCACAGTGTCCCTGGAGACGCGGTGCTGGTTGCTCGATTTTCCTACTCCCTTCCGGTTTTTCATTGCTCGGTTTCCGGCCGCGTGCGTTCCCTCGCGTGATCATCATCCGATCAATTCGCACCGACGGCGCATCCGCGTCGGTCCCATCGAACGAATTCTGCCGAGATCTCCGAGTGAAAACAACGATAGAAGACTGTCAACGATCCCGGCGACCGCCAAGGACACGCCTACTCGACGTACTTCCGGACGCAGTGGACGCCTGGACATCCGGTGCAGTGTTGTTTTTCTCGTGGGGAATTTCAGTGCGAATTCTCTAGACGCAAGTCCTCGCACCGCGGACGTCGAGTTCCATAAAGTTTCACGGAGTTTGACAGAGTTTCACGGAGTTTGACGGGGTTTGAGCTGACTGGTTTCGTAAAGTTCGGACAGTTGAGTGACTCACGGGGCCGCCGGTGCGAGATTAGGCTATCCTCGATGGCGACGACCGTTCATTGTGATTGGACTGCGTTTGTTTGAGCGAGTTTGGGACACCCGGGGCCGAGGTTCGAACGAGAATTCGAATTGCCGGCTCGTCGGACTGCCGTTTCACGAGATAATCGGCGGCGGTAGGAGGATGCTTGGCACAGTTTGAGGCGGTTTGACACGGTTTAAAGCGGTTTGACACGGTTTGAGACGATTCGAGGCGACGGGACTTCGCGGAACGGACTCTCCGGGCTGGGGAAAAAGGTGCTCGGGACTCGGAGGAGCGGGGCTCGAGTGAGTCGCTGGCTGGGATAACTGGCGAGAACGAGTCGCCGGGGCCCGGTTCCCGAAGAATTCCTCGCAGGTAGGTGCAGGTTAACTTAATCACCGGCGGGAACTCGTTTCGCGGCGATTAGCCGGTGCCTGGCAAAGCGTGATTAAAAGACCGAGCCATTTGCATCCGCAAACAGAACCGGACGGATCGCGACGGCCGATCGATCATTCTGCGGGCATCCTCTTCGGGCGACCTTCCGACAGCGGTGCCTGGGTCCGCGGTGACCCGGCCGGTTATAATCGTCGGCTGACGGCGCATCGAGCATCGTACGGTTCGACTGCAGTTTGTATCTTCTTTCGGTGGATTCGGACTTTCATTGGTTGCGGGTGGGTCGATCGTGACCCAGGACGTTGAGATCGTTGATCGAAGGTACGACGAGCGTCGAACGCGACTGAGTTTGCAGTTGTCTTTTGGCGAGTTAATTCTGTTACCGGTTGAGAGTGGGTCGACGGTGACCCGGAGTGTTAAGATCGTTTGTCGGTGCTAAGATCATTAAATCAAAGACGACCGTTACTTCGTTTTGCAATTTCAGCTCGTATTCGTTAAACGCGTTCCACGATTTTTATCGCGTACACACGCCGTTCGCATAAACGGATGCAGCGATCGCCACCCGTAAACGTTCTTTTCGCAGTCTTGATTTAATTGCAATATGTGAATAAATAAAATTGTAAAATGTAAGATAAAATTGTAAAATCGCACAATTCAGAAATCACGCCCGTCAGATTTCGTGGATTTCGTGGATTCGTTGATGCTCGCGATGGAAACGCGATCCCGCCGGTGGCTGGGTCCGCATTGATCCGCAGTCGAAAACTCCCCAGCAATGGTATCGAATCGATGGTTATCGCGCTCGAAGCAACGGAGGCGGTAAATTCCGCTGGGGACAGCTTGAAAAATGTGTTCAAAGTTAAGGTATTGTTCGACGGTGTTGCAAAAGGGGTTTAATTAATCGGCGACGATCAGGGTGTCTCGGGGAGAATGATTCCGTGGCCGATCTACGCCGTGATTTCGAATGGCGCGTTGACGTTTGACGGTTTGTTTGCCCGTCGAATCGTAAATAAGCGGCGCGGTCGCGCGGCTCAGTTTCCGTCGGACACGATTAGCCATTATGTTGCCGATGCATGGACGGGGAATTTAGTGGCGCGGTTCGCTCGTGATTTATCGAACTCCTCGGTGAAACCAGCTTAATTTACAATACTTCTTTTGTCGATCGATGGCGTTCACGCTGCGATTAAAACTGCTTTTTTTTGTCTCGGGGTTGTCGCGGAGTCACCGCGCGTTGGCATAATTAATTAACCCCTTGCCGTACCATTTTCTTCATAATTTCAATGATCAGAAGTTTTTCGATCGTTATCATTATTATCGTAATAATATAACCTGAAAGGAACAAAGAGAATTCTTATTTATCGCGTGTCTATATTGATGGAAATTTGTAAATATTGATGACGAGAAATCAGAATTTTATTCAGACTAAAGAGAATGAAATTGCAATCATACTTAATTGGTGGAAATTATTATTATTATTATTATTATTATTATTATTATTATTATTATTATTATATTACTATCGTAATAATATAACCTGAAAAGAATTATTATTATTATTATTATTATTATTATTATTATTATTATTATTATTATTATTATTATTATTATTATTATTATTATTATTATTATTATTATTATTATTATTATTATTATTATTATTATTATTATTATTATTATTATTATTATTATTATTATTATTATTATTATTATTATTATTATTATTATTATTATTATTATTATTATTATTATTATTATTATTATTATTATTATTATTATTATTATTATTATTATTATTATTATTATTATTATTATTATTATTATTATTATTATTATTATTATTATTATTATTATTATTATTATTATTATTATTATTATTATTATTATTATTATTATTATTATTATTATTATTATTATTATTATTATTATTATTATTATTATTATTATTATTATTATTATTATTATTATTATTATTATTATTATTATTATTATTATTATTATTATTATTATTATTATTATTATTATTATTATTATTATTATTATTATTATTATTATTATTATTATTATTATTATTATTATTATTATTATTATTATTATTATTATTATTATTATTATTATTATTATTATTATTATTATTATTATTATTATTATTATTATTATTATTATTATTATTATTATTATTATTATTATTATTATTATTATTATTATTATTATTATTATTATTATTATTATTATTATTATTATTATTATTATTATTATTATTATTATTATTATTATTATTATTATTATTATTATTATTATTATTATTATTATTATTATTATTATTATTATTATTATTATTATTATTATTATTATTATTATTATTATTATTATTATTATTATTATTATTATTATTATTATTATTATTATTATTATTATTATTATTATTATTATTATTATTATTATTATTATTATTATTATTATTATTATTATTATTATTATTATTATTATTATTATTATTATTATTATTATTATTATTATTATTATTATTATTATTATTATTATTATTATTATTATTATTATTATTATTATTATTATTATTATTATTATTATTATTATTATTATTATTATTATTATTATTATTATTATTATTATTATTATTATTATTATTATTATTATTATTATTATTATTATTATTATTATTATTATTATTATTATTATTATTATTATTATTATTATTATTATTATTATTATTATTATTATTATTATTATTATTATTATTATTATTATTATTATTATTATTATTATTATTATTATTATTATTATTATTATTATTATTATTATTATTATTATTATTATTATTATTATTATTATTATTATTATTATTATTATTATTATTATTATTATTATTATTATTATTATTATTATTATTATTATTATTATTATTATTATTATTATTATTATTATTATTATTATTATTATTATTATTATTATTATTATTATTATTATTATTATTATTATTATTATTATTATTATTATTATTATTATTATTATTATTATTATTATTATTATTATTATTATTATTATTATTATTATTATTATTATTATTATTATTATTATTATTATTATTATTATTATTATTATTATTATTATTATTATTATTATTATTATTATTATTATTATTATTATTATTATTATTATTATTATTATTATTATTATTATTATTATTATTATTATTATTATTATTATTATTATTATTATTATTATTATTATTATTATTATTATTATTATTATTATTATTATTATTATTATTATTATTATTATTATTATTATTATTATTATTATTATTATTATTATTATTATTATTATTATTATTATTATTATTATTATTATTATTATTATTATTATTATTATTATTATTATTATTATTATTATTATTATTATTATTATTATTATTATTATTATTATTATTATTATTATTATTATTATTATTATTATTATTATTATTATTATTATTATTATTATTATTATTATTATTATTATTATTATTATTATTATTATTATTATTATTATTATTATTATTATTATTATTATTATTATTATTATTATTATTATTATTATTATTATTATTATTATTATTATTATTATTATTATTATTATTATTATTATTATTATTATTATTATTATTATTATTATTATTATTATTATTATTATTATTATTATTATTATTATTATTATTATTATTATTATTATTATTATTATTATTATTATTATTATTATTATTATTATTATTATTATTATTATTATTATTATTATTATTATTATTATTATTATTATTATTATTATTATTATTATTATTATTATTATTATTATTATTATTATTATTATTATTATTATTATTATTATTATTATTATTATTATTATTATTATTATTATTATTATTATTATTATTATTATTATTATTATTATTATTATTATTATTATTATTATTATTATTATTATTATTATTATTATTATTATTATTATTATTATTATTATTATTATTATTATTATTATTATTATTATTATTATTATTATTATTATTATTATTATTATTATTATTATTATTATTATTATTATTATTATTATTATTATTATTATTATTATTATTATTATTATTATTATTATTATTATTATTATTATTATTATTATTATTATTATTATTATTATTATTATTATTATTATTATTATTATTATTATTATTATTATTATTATTATTATTATTATTATTATTATTATTATTATTATTATTATTATTATTATTATTATTATTATTATTATTATTATTATTATTATTATTATTATTATTATTATTATTATTATTATTATTATTATTATTATTATTATTATTATTATTATTATTATTATTATTATTATTATTATTATTATTATTATTATTATTATTATTATTATTATTATTATTATTATTATTATTATTATTATTATTATTATTATTATTATTATTATTATTATTATTATTATTATTATTATTATTATTATTATTATTATTATTATTATTATTATTATTATTATTATTATTATTATTATTATTATTATTATTATTATTATTATTATTATTATTATTATTATTATTATTATTATTATTATTATTATTATTATTATTATTATTATTATTATTATTATTATTATTATTATTATTATTATTATTATTATTATTATTATTATTATTATTATTATTATTATTATTATTATTATTATTATTATTATTATTATTATTATTATTATTATTATTATTATTATTATTATTATTATTATTATTATTATTATTATTATTATTATTATTATTATTATTATTATTATTATTATTATTATTATTATTATTATTATTATTATTATTATTATTATTATTATTATTATTATTATTATTATTATTATTATTATTATTATTATTATTATTATTATTATTATTATTATTATTATTATTATTATTATTATTATTATTATTATTA